TATAAATAAAACTTTTTATATCTGTCTGCAAGTGGTTAAAAGTTGCTTATTGTTAGTTGAAAACTAAAATATACTTATAGTTCGATAAAATAATTAAATAACATATTTATACTACAATCAATGAATCTCGTGAAAATAATATTTTAATCTATATATTTTAAAACACTCCATGAATATATAAAATAATATTTTGTTATTTTGATCATTTTGCCTATATTCATCAAAATGTAACAAGTTTTTAAAATTAAAATTATTCAATTTTCAATTTAATATGTATGGTAACATATCATATATAAATTTATTTTATTAAAAGAAAAAAGAACGAGAAAATTATTAAAAAAAGATTAAATTGAAAAAAATAAAATTTGAAAACGAACTTAACAGAATTAAAAAAATTAAAGACAATTACAAAAATCACTTATGTGCAAGAATTTGAGCTTGGACAGTTACTATTTAAATACTATTGTATTCAATTAATTTTATAGACTTTGGGACCAATTCTCCAATAATATATATATATATATATATATATATATATATATATATATATTATGGCAACTCTATATTACGGGTCTATCTTCATATGAATTGGTAATAAGAACTGTCATAAGGCGCTTTACACATAAAACCTAACCTACAAAACGCCAAATAATAATTTTATCACAAGTGCAACTTTTTGATGTTTCATTGATAACACATGCGTGAAGTTAGGTTTTATGTATAAAACGCTTGATCTCACAGCAAATACATAGTTTTTTGACAGTTTGTTACTACCAAATAATACGAGGATAGATCCGTAACATAGCGTTATTATAACATTTCTATTTTATCCGAAAATCGGCTACTAAATCTATATTTTTAAAAATTTGTTTTATATTTTAGAACATGTGAATATTATTAAATGGTACAATTTCGTGCAGTTTATTTATCGCAATGTTAATACCATTAAATAAATGTGTCGTCGATGTTAAATAACATATTTACGAGGAAATATATCGCAGTATTTACAAATTTCATTCCACAAAGAGTCACGTTGAGATAAGGACATTTTAAAACAAATTATAACCTTTGGAAACAATAATTATTTAATTTTAAAAAAAATTAAAATCTAATAACCAATACTCTTATATCCCACTTTCAAAAATATTTAAATTGCATGATGAAAAAATATTCATTTCATTAAAAAAAAAATTAGTCCACATTTAAAAATAATATTTAGCCCACATTCAAAATATTAACGAAATTTAAAAAATACTTATATCAATAATAAAGCAATAATATTTTACAATAATAAGAATTGTAATAAAATAAAGTATAAAAATATCACATTTTGAATAAACTAAAAAAGAGTGCGAGAAAAAAATGATGATTAAATGAACAATAAACTTAATTAATTTAAAAAAAAAATTGAATGTGAAAATTTAATATAGAAAATAATCGTGTACCATTGAATATTTATATTTAAATAAATTTAAAACTAAAATATTTACAGCAAAATTAAAAAATACAAATAATAATGATATATACAAATAATAATAATAATATTTAGGGTTCAATTCTCTGATAAAATAAAAATGCGATGGTAACGCTTTGTTAGGGGTCTATATTTGTATGAATTGGTATGAATAAACTTTCAAAAATCTATGTGTGCCATCAGGCGTTTCACACATAAAACCTAACCTCCAAACTGCACAAACTTCAAATAACAATTTTATCTTAAATGCAACTTTCTGATAACTCATGAGTAAAGTTAGGTAATACGCCTAACAGGAGTTTTAGTCTTTAAGGGAGTGAACAGGGAGTTAAAAGTATTGTCAAAATTAAAAACTAACAAAAAGCTTTCATTCAAATTTTTTTTAAGAAACTGAAAAAGTACCTAAATAAGGCAAAGAAAAAACTCCTTTGTATTTTTTTTGTAAAAGACGGATCTGAATTAGTCAGAAGAAAACTTTTTGAAACATCAACATTATTGATATAATTATCAGGCTTAATATAGAAAACTGATAACTCATGAGTAAAGTTATGTTTTAGTGTAAAACGCCTGATGGCACAGCAACCACATAGCTTTTTGATAGTTAATGACTACCAACTCATACAAATATAGACCCGTAACATAATATTACTATTTTATCCGAAAATTGACCCTTCAATGCTATATAACTTAGGCACAAATTGGCTATGATCGTGTATATGTAAATAATATTCACAAACTGTCGAAAAAAATTCTTACAAAAACAAATACTTTTTTCTAATAACACCAAATAGATAATGTGAACTTTATTGTGATTTGTTTATAACAATCGGTTCTGGATATTGTTAAATAAAATCCGTGTAAAAATAAAAATACTGAATGATGTCAAAAATTAGGTACACACTGGCTGGTGTACTTCTAAATCATCATTAAAAACGTTGTGACAGTATATAATGTGAATATAAATCTAGAACATTATCGTGTATCGTTTACAAAGACCTATCCTTAACAAAAAATCCGTTTACAATGTCGAAACCTCCTCGTGGTAAACAGAGGCGCTCTATGAGCTTGCAGCCCTCAGTGCGCGAGCCGAGCGTCACGTCTGGCAGAATTCGTTACGTTCGTGACAGAATGGAGAGGAGTTATGCAATGTCCAGTGACGAGAGCCTCAATAATTTTTTGGACCTTCAGGCAAGTTGAAGAAAAGACTATTGTAAAAAGATCCTTGTAGATCTACGATGATCCATGTAGATTAAAAGGCCTTCAATCTGTTAAGTGGGTTTGACGACTATTTCCGTCATAAAAGATGTGACAAAATTTTATGTCTTTTCTGGATACATACAATGAGCTAATAAAATTTTTTATTCCTGTCATTTAAGCTGAAATTAGGTAAGAATCTCGGAATTCGAGATACGCAGCTGTAAGTCTGTAAATACACCCTGAAAGTTGTCTCAAAACCTACATATGGTACGAGACAACTTTTAGGGTGTATTTACAGACTTACAGCTGGGTATCTCGAATTCTGAGGTGAAGTTAATGTAATGACTGGAGTATTGATAATGCGAGTATTCTGAGTGGTAATTTATAAAATGTTTATTAATACTGAATTTGATAATTTTGATTTTCAACAACGACTGTACCGATTTTTGAAAAATTTAAAATTTGTTTGAAGGATATGATTTGGGAGCCGTGTTGATTGGATTCTGGAAAAGATTCACCAAGACATTTTTTATGATTGAATCAGTAAAATATAATAGCACTGCGAAAAATAGTCGATTTATTAAAAATCATTAAAAATTGAATAAATGGACCTCGCTTTCAGGGCATACACATTGAATGTTCTAATAATAATAATATCTAATTTTGGAATAACGTGAAGAAAAACTAAGTAAAGCGCCTTGGAAACAATCAAAAGGGTTTTTAAATGATCACGTGATCGATTTTCAAGGATTTTTAGAGTCCTTGTTCCCTCCTCTTGATGGGGCTTCGTGATATTACCCACAAAACATTATATGTATTTTTAATGGACAGAAAATTCGTAAATTTTTCTGAAAAGTTTTGGAATATTTTTTTTAATTTAGCTAAAAAAATCACTCTCTCCTTGTTCTCTTCTCTCTCCTCACGTGATTATAGGATACATCCAAAGATTCTTATAAGAATTTATAATTTATTAGAAAGATTAAGAAAGATTCTATCAAAAATTCGTATAAGATTTTTACGACCATATACGTTTCTTATAAGATTGATATTGAATACTTACATATTTTCTCTGAGTAAACTAATTTAAAAATTTTGTACAAAGATTAGCTTTATTTCTACTCTAATTATCTTTCCAAAGCATTATTTTTATTTTTGCCCATTATGATTTTTTTCAGTTTACGTTTCGTTTCATAAATCAGGAGCTTTACTTTTAAATTTACTATAACATTTACATCATTTTACTTCATTAAATTAAGGTTAACATTTTTAAAGACAACAAACAAAACTAAAACAGAAGAACTAAAACAGAATGTTGATTGCTGAACGAATAGATTGCTTGAATAATTTAATGATTAAGTAGTGCAAACACTTCTTAATTAAATTTGTGAAATCAAAGACATTGCCATTAGGTGATAATTAATAAAAATGGAGATAAAAATATAATAATATACTAGGAAAGGCCATTTTTTCAAAAAAATCCATTACATCATTCTTAGTCGTCTATAAAATACTACAATAAAAAATATATATATAATATAAAAAAAAATGAGGATAAAAATTAAATAATACATTACGAAAGACACTTTTTTTTTAAAAATCCTGTTTGTTTCATAATACGTCACAATATTGTGTTTACAGAAATACGATGATCTGGTTCAAAACTGATTGTTCTTGGGAGCCCTATCAAAATAAGAACTTCAATTCTTAAGTGCATCCCATCCTGGATATTTTTAGCACGTGATGGTTCAAAATAAACCAACAGATCTGTGTCAGAACAGAAGTAATCTGTGGTTTGGATGTAGTTTAGACATAGTCTTTGTTTGATCGAGAACTTGCTATGAACTAAATTAAAAACCACGCAAAAAATAAGATTTTGCATTTATTTAATATCCAACAGAGTTCCATCATTGACAAATTATTGAGTATTGACTCTTGTACACATATGTGGGTATGTTCAGTAAAAAGTTTATAAATTTTACCATTTTTTTTCTATATTTATGCATATTGGGTAGTTACTACTGGGTTCAAACCTATGTACTAAAGAAACTGATAAAATGCAGTAGTGATTTCTATTTAAAACAGCAGATATTGGTCTACCAAAGCGAATTTTAAATTTGATCAAATGCTTTTGTTGTCCAGTTGTTCTGGCTTTTATTTATAACAAATAATGTTTTCATCAGAATGCAGCAGATATCACCATAGAACAACGTTCAACCATCATTAGCAGAACACTTTGGTTTATATTATTTTTTGTTAGATTGTCGTTTTGTTTCAACTATATTATTAACAGTTTTCTAATATTTAATTTATTCTGGATTTTATTTTTTAGGTCTCAGATTCACCGGAAAGCCCTTCACCGTTCTGCAGCATCGAAAATATGACCACCGACGCCGAAGAGATGAGGGCGATGGCAGATGAAGAACTTGCCAGGTACGATAATTATAATATATTAACAATTAACATATAAAATTTTAATACTACCTACAGTCTAGGATAACTGCATATTCCTTTCTAGTACATCATTACGTTAAGGTAATTTTCTTGTAAATGGTGTATATATAATAGATATCCCAGACATCAATTTATTCGCACTTGTTACATATGTAGAATGTAATTCAAAATTAGTTCAGGAGAGGAAATTAGTCCGGTTGAATAATTAAATGTACACCCAAAGCTTTAGAAAAATAATTTTTGGATTAATTATTTTAAAAATGTAATTTTTAGTGCAGTCTTGTAAAATTGTTATCTACTTATTTTCGTCTAAGATAAAAAAGTAGTAAGCCGCGATCTTTAGATACTTACTTAGATATGTATAGTAGAAATTAAATTTAGACAATGTTTTTATCGTCAATGATGATTTATACAAATAATTGGTTGAAATTTAAATTAGTCATAAAGAGGAAATTAGTCAATTTCAGAACAATGTGACCGTCGGTCACTCACCCATTCATTATTACACACAAAGAGATTAGGTTCACTTGATAATATGAGAACACCATGGGTGTACTACATATGGTTCTACAAAAAAATATATTGGTCCATGGCATTGTACCTTAAGGCAAATTGCTGGAACTTTAAAATGGAAAAATAAAATTCCCAAAAAAGTTTTGCAAAAGAATAATTTTGAGAATTTTGAAATTTTTGGAAAAAAAGTCTTTTTTGAACATTCTGAATTTTTTGACATTAGTAAGGTACCTATAGAAATGTAAACAAAATTTGTTCTTATTATTAAAATCTCTATAAAATATCTGATAATTCGATGTGCATTTGTTTAATGGTCATTTTTGACCAAATGGCATTATTTTTTACTTTTTTATTGGTTCTCCAAAACCGTTGAACCTGCCTTCATGAAAATTTGATCAGTTCTTCAACTTGTTAATACAAGTAAAATGTTTTTTGAATCATTCAAATTGGACGCTCCGTTCTCTTAAAAACTGAGTTAGCGTTTTCGGCACTTTTTGCCCCATATCTTCGGAACGGCTAGATCTGCCTTCGCCAAAAACTAATCAGCACGTCTCCTTATCAATACGAATCGAATGTTGTATGAATTATACAAATCGGTTGATCTTGTGTTTGCAAAATCGTCGATGAAAAATTGTATCCGCATATATATATACACACATGCATCATTTTTTTTTAAAGTATGCCAAAATGTTCATAAAGTTTCGAAACGTAAAGATATATAAAAATTTTCTTTTTAGATTTTTTTGCGATTACTTTAACTTACCCTACGGTAGTTAATAAGAATTGTAACTAGCGGTGCATGGCATCGTGCTTCAAAGCAAATTGCTGGAACTTCCCGTACTGCAATGTAAAAATATTCGAGGAATATTAAATGTTTTTAAATAAATTATTATAAATACTGTAACTTATATATGTTTACAGAAAAGTAAATAAACAAAACTTAATCGGATTTATAATGAAGGACATTGTCTTATATTTATAAGAATTATATAAACTGAATTGCAAAGTTGAAATTATTTTTTTGAAGTATGTAAGTGAGTTTTTTTTTATTTATTTATTTTTTATTTTTATTTATATATATATATATATATATACATTATTTTCATATCTCAGTCAGGCAGAGTTGCCTGGTATGAGAGATTATAAAAAACAGTTTTCATATAATTTCATATAAGTTTTAGAAATTTAGCTAAAAAAAATATATTTGAAAACATTTAAAGTTTCTCGAATATTTCATTACGGTACAGGAAGTTCCAGCAATTTGCTGGAAGAGAATCGGTTCCCTAGGAAGAATAATGAATTTGACTACAGTAGACTCTCTGTTGAGTGCGGAAAACACTAAAACATGGTAAAGCACTTTTGTTCTGTTTCAAACTCTATATAAAGGTCATTTATTAAACAGAGTTTAAAATATATACTCTGTATATTTAAAAAATTTAATTATATTTTTTCAATTTGTCCCTTATCTAAAAAATTCTGACTACTCCTCTGGTGCGTTGCAATTGTCTCTGAAGATGCAATTGTCCTCTGACTTTTTGAACTCAGTGTCACATCATAAACTGTTTGTTCAAGATTTGTAGTTTATAGATATTTATTTTAATAATTCATAATAATAATAACAACTACTTGTTAGTTTTAAGTTTGTCACAATATGATAAAATAGTTCTAGTATAGTTTTAAATAGTTCAGTTTGGATTTTGCCATAAAAATGAATCAGGTTTATAAACTTAGGAACGAAGGGTAATATTTTTATTCTTGATGTTATTTATTTTTAATATTTAATTGAATGTATTTGTTTAGGAATTTTTTAAGTTTTAGCAGGAATCAGGAGATGATATACTTTTTTCTTAATAGCCAGGAAACATGAGCTACTTTACAGTTATAAAACTTTGTAATTTCATTATTACAAATTTGTATATAACATTTATTTATAATTTTACTCATAATATTTTCATCACAATGTTAAATTTTTAAATAATGTGTCTTGCACTTCTTTTCTTAAAATAATATTCTAATCACATTATAATCACAATCTTAATTTTTTAAATAATAAGTCTTGCACTTCTTTTCTTAAAATAATATTCTAATCACATTCTAATCACAATCTTAATTTTTTAAATAATAAGTCTTGCACTTCTTTTCTTAAAATAATATTCTAATCACATTCTAATTACAATCTTAATTTTTTAAATAATAAGCCTTGCACTTCTTTTCTTAAAATAATATTCTAATCACATTCTAATCACAATCTTAATTTTTTAAATAACAAGTCTTGCACTTCTTTTCTTAAAATAATATTCTAATCACATTCTAATCACAATCTTAATTTTTTAAATAATAAGTCTTGCACTTCTTTTCTTAAAATAATATTCTAATCACATTCTAATCACAATCTTAATTTTTTAAATAATAAGTCTTGCACTTCTTTTCTTAAAATAATATTCTAATCACATTCTAATCACAATCTTAATTTTTTAAATAATAAGTCTTGCACTTCTTTTCTTAAAATAATATTCTAATCACATTCTAATCACAATCTTAATTTTTTAAATAATAAGTCTTGCACTTCTTTTCTTAAAATAATATTCTAATCACATTCTAATCACAATCTTAATTTTTTAAATAACAAGTCTTGCACTTCTTTTCTTAAAATAATATTCTAATCACATTCTAATCACAATCTTAATTTTTTAAATAATAAGTCTTGCACTTCTTTTCTTAAAATAATATTCTAATCACATTCTAATTACAATCTTAATTTTTTAAATAATAAGTCTTGCACTTCCTTTCTTAAAATAATATTCTAATCACATTCTAATCACATTCTTAATTTTTTAAATAAGTTTTACACTTCTTATTATACTTCATTTTCAGCTTCTAAATTTTTTCTCTGTGTCCTAAATTTTACATCAGGTATCAAATATATTATAAATTCATTTGTTTTTTCATTTTTAGGGCTCCTTTAAGGATGCCAAGAAAAAAAAGTATATCAACATTGGCCGATTTGAGGATGACTGACCAGTTAGGACTTCCAATGGGAGATTCCATCGAGAATTCCAATCAAAATTCCATCACATCCATCAATTCTTTGGCCAGCTTACTCCGAGAAAAAATACAAGTAAAAAAAAAATCATATTATTGTTTTTCTAGTATTATTTTATTATTCAGAAATTTTATTTATTAATTTCATTTTCAATATTATTTGCTTTTATTTTATACTAAATCACCATACTACGGATATCATTTTAATATAAATTCTATCCTTTGTACTCTTTCTTATTTAAATTTATGTTATTATTTATTATTATTGCTAGATGTTAAATTATTTAACAGTTGTAATAAATATTATAATTTATAAAAAATCATATTTAATAAACATGAATTTTCTTAATAATTATTTTTTCCTCAGATGGTGCCAAATATAATAAAAAAGAAGAAAAAACCAGACGTCGATTACAAAGTTCGTGCCTTCGTCGCCATACTATTTCTAGTTATTGTATTTTTGGTAGGATTTGCCTATGTGATGTACCACCAGAAAATTTTGGCCAAATCCTATTTTGAAAAAGTGCAATTTAATAAAATGAGGAGGTCTTTGAAGATCTATGATGATAATGGGGATACTATCATCAGTGGAGAGTTGGGTAAGATAAAATTAGTAGAAGGAATTATAATTATATAATTAGATAAATTTATATGTCTTCTAATTAGCTACAGTTTTACAGAATTTTTTATTGCCTGACAAATGAACAACTTATAAATTTTTTTCGAATTTTTTTTTAAAATAAGTTTAAAAAAATGTCATTTTTGGCGGTCAAAAATGTTTATTGAACATATATACATCAAAGTATCAGATATTTTATAGAGATTTTAATATTGTGTACAACATTTTATGTATTTTTTTTTTTGGGTTCCGTACCAAGATTTTCAATATTGACGTTTATTTATATGGTTCAAACAAATGTCCTCGACATTTTCAAAAAAACTCAAATTTTCGAAATTTTTCATCGTTTTCAAAAAAAAAACTAAATATTGAAAAATTAAAAATAAATGATTTCTTTGAAAATGATCAAATAATCTTTCTGATGAAAATTTTGAAAAAGTTCTAAATTGTCAAAAAAAATCTAAATTATCAAACAAGTCAAATTTAAAAATAATGAACTCTTGTAAACGTACACAATTTACAATTTAAAAAGCACTTATAAGTTTACAGTATGTAATAAATAATCTATTTGAAATTATTAAAAAGAATTATTTATTAATTTCATTCTTTGAATGTTTAATTACGGTACGGGATGTTTCAGCAATTTGCCTTAAGGCACGATACTATGCGCCCCACTAGTTAATTTTTTTTATATATGATTTTTTTTTAATTACTGAATATTCTGTATTTTTTCAATAGTCAAACAGCGAACTCATGATTTGGTGAAATTGCATATGTATTATTTATTTAAGGCTTGTAGATCTTGACATTCTTCTTATGTTTAAAAAAATCCTTTAAATAATTGTTATGCAATTTTTAATTTAGTCTTATATATGACTTCTATAAAATTTTAGCAAATTTTGTTTAATGATGGTGCAGCAGATGCTTTACTAATAATTTCTTCAGAGATGTCTCTACGGATTTTGTAAAGTCAGAAACTACTTGATAATTTAGTTTAAATTTGAATTTTGAATATTTAAAATTGCTAACTTAGTGTTACAGATCCAATAATAACTTGGTAGATATTTTTAGAAAGCATCAAATAGACCTGAATTTGAATTTTCTTAGTATTTTAGTTTTTGCATTAGATATAAGTTGCTGAATCAACTAAAACAATCTAATGGCAAATTTTTCATTGCTTTTATTTTATTATTTTAGGTACAACCCTAAGGTCTGATAGGGTGTTTCCTTGTCATGCCGAGGATATGAACTTTTCTGAAAGGTATAGTAAAATTATAGAGTTTTTTGATCATCTGGAAAATCTTTGCGATGAGTTCCTTATTAAGAACTTAGTTCAAAATGAATAAATAAATAAATAAAATAAAAATACCTTGAAATCTTTAAAAGGTACTAAGTGGAGAATAAATCTGATAGCAGTATCAGCGAGCCGAGTAAAAATACCCGAATTATTATCTGGTCATATTTGTATAATTTTTGGTCACAACTAGATAATTAGAATCCTTCTGATTTTTATTTAAATTGAAGTTATCAAGGAATGGAATGCAAATAGTTTGATTTCTGTTAGAAATCCAATTAGATTATATCCTTTCTGGTCACCTAAAATGTTTATTAACTTCCCGTAGGGCAAGTTACACTAATAGCAAAAAAATCGAAAATGAAATTTTTTGCATGTCTCGACGTTTTAAAGGTTTATGAGTATTTTGGCATACTTAAAAAAAATGGATGTATGTGTGTGTGTGTGTGTGTGTGTGTGCGTGTGTGTATGTATGTGCGGATACAAATTTTCGTCGACGATTTCGAAAACACCGATCAATCGATTTAAATAATTTAAAAAAACATTCGATTCGTACTGATAAGGAGACGTGCTGATTAGTTTTTGGTGGAGGCAGGTCTAGCCGTTCCGATGATATGGGTCAAAAAGTGCCAAAAACGGTAACACGGTTTTTAAGAGCGTCTGATTTTAAAAATTTAGAAAACATTCTACTTATATTGACAAGATGAAGAATTGGTCAAATTTACATGAAGGCAGGTCTAGCGGTTTCGGAGATTTAATGAAAAAAGTAGAACAAAAAGCCATTTAGCGGTCAAAAATGATCATTATACATATGCACATCAAATTATCAGATATTTTATAGAGATCTTAACAATTAGTATCAATTTTGTTTACATTTCTATGGGTTCCGTACCATCCGTTAGACGGCGACGCGGCGCTTACGCGCTTCTATATTTCGTCTCTATGCAGTTAAGGCAGTACTATTGCTTTGAAAGGAAGTTCAGAATTTCCAAAATATGTCAAAATAAAGAAAACATTTAATTTTTTAAAAAAAAAAAAGTAATTTTTTGTCAAATTTATAGTTTCTCAAAAATCTAATTCTTTCGAAGTAATTTTTTTTCAAAAATGTTAATCGGTAAATGGCGGATGGTCAAATAGACTTTAATATGATGAACTTGATGATGAACATTGTATTTAATGTTCGAATGCTTTTTTTGCAGCTCTTTTATTCAGAAGCGAAATTTGTGCAGCTATTATGATTATTATAAAATTACTGTCCTTTTAATAAAAATTATGAATAAGCTTGACAAGAGCCTGAAATAATATCTATTATTATTGATTACGGCTTGCTTATGAATAAATAAATAAATAAATAAATATATTATTATTTTTTCCAGGAAGAGTCCCCTATGCCTAGAATGGCTGCACAGTGCCCGTCTCTATCTGGATCGCGAAGAAGACGCTTCCATAATATCCTCGCACGTCCATTCCATATCCACATCCAGTGGTTCTTCCCAAAATTCCAACAACCCAAACCCCACACATTCCACTTTGAAATGCTATGATGTCTCCTGGGTTGCAATTTCGCCCTACCATTACCCTACTGATTGTTACCAGTGGACTGGGCCGGCTCACTGGCTGGCGAATGATACAAGAGGCTTCAAACCATTTATTACTGGGAAAAACTGGGGAAATGTTCTGAAGAGATACTTCATCAATTCCAAGTGAGTGGTAAAGGAGTTATATATATATTAATAATATATACATTTACTTATTCAATCAGCATATTTTATAATCATAACTTCCAATTATATACATCAATAACATATACACTTACCATTCAATCAATATGTTTTATAATCAAAGCGTACTAGACTTAACCCTATATATAGGACGCGCTCTGATTTTCATTTGGGATTCTTTAATTACTATTCAACCAGTAATCATATATTATATCACATAATAAAATACAATATTATTAATTGTATAATTTGAATATAATAAAGTATTAAAATATAGTGAAGTAATTGTATTAAAGTGAAATAAATATTATTTTTATATAAAACCTACGTTATAAAAATATAACTAAGGCGTAATGGAATTATAATTATAATTAACTTCCCGTAGGGTAGTTATAGTAATGGGCCGAAAATTGAAAATGATCATTTTTGCATTTCTTGACGTTTTGAAGGTTTCTGAACATTTTTAGGATATACCTCAGAGAAAATGGATGTGTGTGTGTGTGTGTGTGTTTTGTGTGTCCGCATTTTTTCGTCCACGTTTTCGGGCGCACGGATCAACCGATTTTAATGGTTTAAAAAACATTCGATTCCTATTGATAGGATGATTTGCTGATTAGTTTTTGGCAAAGGCAGGTCCAGCCGTTACGGAGATACGGTGCAAAGAGTGCAAAAAATACAAATCGAGATTTTGAGAGTACGGAGTATCGGATTTGTATGATCTAATAAACATTCAATTTGTAATGATTGAGAGAAGAGGTGATTAGTTTTTGGCAACGACAGGTCCCGCCAATTTGAAGATACAGAGCTAAGTGTGCAAAAATGGCAGTTTTTGAGTGAGCTGATCTACAAATCTTTCTGCTCGTATTGACAAAACAATTGCTTTTGAGGATGAAAACAATTTCTACATCTTTTTTTAATTTTCCTAAATTATTTTTGTAATTTTGGATCAAAAATTTAAAAAATTACCCAGGTTAAGCACAGTCTAAGCGACACTCTGGTACAAATGTTTACCCAAGTGCGTTTAGAGTTTAGACCAATGATTCCCAACGTAGGGCGCACGCAATTTGAAAATTTTGGTGATTTGAATGTCATGTAGTACCATTATCAGTAAAACATTCAACAAAAAATGGTTGTTGTAGATCTAACTAAAGAGTTCTGGTTTGCCCGGAACAGAGCTAGTTTTCATCGCTGCCTGACGTTGTAAATAGACCTGACTTTTTAAAAAGTTTAGCTTGAATTTGAATTATGCTCATTACTTTATAGTAAAATTACAACTCGTTTAGCGTTCGTTAAAAATGGAAATGCAAAACAAACATTTTTGTTATATTTTGCATTTTTATTTCCGAAAAACGATGATCATAAAAGTTAAGTGCTGTTTTTAGTGTCGAAACTTAATAAATGTCAAAATTGGTTTGTCATTCTGGTGATTTTGCACACAATGCTACTCTGATTGTCCAGTTAAAGTTGTGGACAACTTAATTAAAGCTATCATCGTTTCGGCTAATAGAAACAATTTGGCTATGTTTAAAAATTATTGGGCCTTGGTTGAAATGTTTCTCCATAACACCAAATAGTCCTGACCATGAACCATTTAATTAAAACCCTTAAATAAAAAAAATGGTTAGATTAAGTTTTATAATGATGCTTCTTGGAAGATAACAAAAGGTCATCAAAATGGTCGATCAAAAGTTATTTAATTCCACGCAAAAATTGTCTTTGATTTTCTAACAAAAATGCGCACTTACTTACGGAGTTAGTTGCCAACCCGATAGCGACAAATTTCCGTTCTTAAAATTAAAAAAAAAATACACAAAAAGATATATAAAAATTAGTTATAATTTTGTTCTGAGTTAAGAAAATGCAACTAGCTAAGTAGACTCGTTAAGTAGACTCGTTGTGAAGAAACTGAAACCAAATGCCCAAATGTACAAATCCTATGTGGTTTTTTGCTATAATTTATTGATAAAAAGAAATAGACTTGAAATTACATAATGTGGAGACTTAAGTTTGAAGCTCAGTAATGTAGAACCTAATATAAAATATTTGTGCAGCTGGCAAGCTTAGTATCACGTTAAATAAATTTCGACAAAATACTAATAGAATCAGTTTGAAATTTCTGTTTTTGGCTTATTTAGAAATTTTACTTATGATGTTTAATAACACTTTGATAGTGATTTCACCTTGAAACTTAACATTCACATTTTTTCAAGAATAAAAAAAATTGTATGGGAGGCATAACGTTTTTAGAAACCTCAAGGTGGGACGGGGCCCAAAAAAGGTTGGGAATCACTGGTTTAGAATGTTTATGCACTGAAGCACTTTTCCAATTTTGTGATAATTATTGAAAAATGTGAAAATGCCGCCAAGCTGGGCACTGTGTAAGTGAAAATGTCGCACAGAATTGTTTGCAAATGCGTTTAGACTGTGACTATACGAGAGCACTTTTTGTGTAAATTTCAATTTTGTGTAAATTAGGCAACTAAACTATTTTTTTTGAATTTGAATTCGAAATGAAATGAAGATTGTTAATGTTCAGGAGATAAATTATTAGGACTTATAATTTTTTTTCCTCTAGAGGTGCAGCTATTTTGGTATCAGACGCGACTCCTCTGCACGTCAGCCTGGACGATGGTAAATTATGTTTGAGGGCAAAACGTGATGACTTTGCATTTGCAGGATCTTCTTCAGATTATCACAATCCTGATGTGGAACCAGAGCCGACTGTATTGTCCTACAGGATTTGCTGTGCAGCAAATCCTAGAGAATTGCATTTGGCCTTGGCTGAACGCTCTTTGTGGGATGGATTGAAGGTAAAGGAAAAATTTAAAGTAAAAATTCTGTCAGGTCTCACAGAAGTTTATTTTTGTTTCAGGAAGAAGATGTGGGTGTTATTAATTCTTTGCTGGCCGAACCTGTTTGGCAGATTGCTCCTGTGATCAAGGAAAATCTTACTGAAGCTGCTGTCTATAATTATACTGAAGCTGTGATTGCTCAGGGATTTTTGAAACTTGGACATGTATTGGTAAGATAACAAATATTTAGATTTTTTAGACTTACCAAAGATTTCGTCGAAAGAATTTACACATCTTTGCTTATTGTTGGCATTCTTTTTTGGCCTCAATTATTTTTATCTGCCAGCATGGTAGTTATAGTAATGGGCCGAAAATCGAAAATGCATTTTTGCATTTCTCGACGTTCTGAAGGTTTCTGAACATTTTGGCATGGATGGGTGTGTGTGTATGTGTGTGTGTGTTTTGTATGTCCGCATTATTTCGTCCACGTTTTCGGGCGCACGGATCAACCGATTTGAATGGTTTAAAAAACATTCGATCCCTATTGATAGAGAGATGTGCTGATTAGTTTTTGGCAAAAACAGGTCTAGCCGTTACGGAGATACGGAGCAAAGAGTGCAGAAAATACAAATCGAGTTTTTGAGAGAACGGAGTATCGGATTTGAATGACAAAAAATCAATTTGTAATGATTGGGAGAAGAGGTGATTAGTTTTTGGCAAAGACAGGTCCTGCCATTTCGAAGATACAGAGCTAAATGTGCAAAATATTGCAGTTTTTGAGTAAACTAAGCGTCCGATTTGAATAATCTGAAAAACTTTCTGCTTGTATTGACAAAACATGAAGTTTTTTTTGAGGATGAAAAATTATTACATCTTTTTTTATTTTTGTATAAAATATTTTGGTAATTTTGGACTAAAAATTCAAAAAATTACCCAGGCTAAGCACAGTCTTTGCGCCACTCTGGTACAAATGTTTACCCAAGTGCGTTTAGACTGTTTATGTACTGGGGCACTTTTCCAATTCTGTGAAAACTATTGAAAAATGTGAAAATGCTGCCAAGCTAAGCACAGCACAAGTGAAAATGTCGCACAGAATTATTTTCAAATGCGTTTAGACTGCGACTATACGGGAGCACTTTTTCAATTTTGTGTAAATTTGGCAAGTATTTTTTTTTTTGAAATTGAATTGGAAATAAAATGACTATTGTTAATGTTCTGGAGATAAATTGATTTATGATTTACATTTGATTTGCTCAGATATAACGAGATAGCAAAAATAATGAAAGTTACAGTATTTGTAATAAATATATTTGAAAATGTTTGAAATTTCTGGAATATATCATTACGATACGGGAAGTTTCAGCAATTTGCCTTAAGGCACGATGCTATACACCACTAGTTACACTTTGTATCTTTAGATGGTTCACGAGTTCAATTTTATATTTGGATATAAATTTTAGCTTATGATGAGCTTATAGTAGTTGAAAAAGTAGGAATGATATTTGTAGAATATGACTGTTTTTTATTTATTAGTCTTCTATTTAATATTTTTATTATCTATTTTTAGGTTAGTGAGCAATGGCAAAAAAACAATGGTGATCTGACCCTGGACAAGGATAGGTTTTCCACAATGTACGAGACAGTAGATGTTATGCACAGACGTGGATTTCGAGTTCTGTTTGCTGTACAGCCTTTTATCAGTACAGAAAGTTCAAGTTTTTCTGAATGCTTGCAAGCTGGATACTTTGTTGGTATGATAGAAATTAAATTTATATTATTTTGGACAAGAAAATTAGTCCTAAATTAGACCGCAAAAGACATAGACTAGTACAATTAATTGGTGTGTGAAAAATACAGCACTACCCCGACATATCGTTTTGTAACCAGACTTGTATGTCGATACGTTCGTATCTCAAAGCAATTTTTATCATACAGCCAAAATATTTCTATGGTAGGAAAATCACAGATTTTTTTTATTTTGTCATTTTGCAGTTAATATTTTCCAAGAAAACTTATTCGCTCACAGTTTGTATCTGGAGTTTTCGTTTGTATGTCAAAGCAACAAAATGCTTTTTTGGCGGGTCGTATCTCGAAATTTTGTTAGGTCATTTGGCAGGTAGAGAAAACTCTATTTTCTTTTTGTCATTAATATTTTTCGAGTAAATTTTTACTCGCTCAAATGCCGTATCTCGATTTTTCGTATCTTGGCACACTTTTATATCGCTCGTATTTCAAAACTTTGTCAGGTCATGTTTTTTATTTTATTTTTCACTTAAAGGTTGTATATCAATTTTTGCTCGTATGCCGAGGCTATTGACTACTCCTTTAGCGGCTCGCATCTCGAAACATTCGAACGTCAGGTCGATTTTTTGTTTGTTTAATTTTGGCATTAAAATTTTTCTTACTCTTACAAAAAAAAACTCTTACTTGCATGTCGGGGCAACGAATCACCCTGTTGCGGCTCATATCTCGAAACGCTCGTATATCAGGTGAAAATTTTTCCTGTTTCCTTATTTTGCCAATAACATTTCTCTAGAAAACTCTTACTCGGTCATAGGTTGTATCTGTAATTTTACTCGTATCTCGAAACATTCTTATATCTGGTCAATTTTTTTTATATTTTCATTTTGGCATTAACATTATTCCAAAAAACTCTTTCTTGCTCAAAGATCGTATCACGAATTTTCTTTGTATGTAAGGGCAACGAAACGCTCTTTTGGCGGCTCGTATCTCAAAACACTCTTATGTCAGGTAGAATTTTTTTATACTTTAATTTGTCATTAACAGTTTTCGAGAAATTTTACCCAAAATTTTCGTTTCAGATCGTTTTTGGCCTGTTTTGATCAGATCAAAAAATCGATAGGTCATTGTACGGAGAACTATATATAGAACATGTAAAAAAATTCGATAGTGATCGGATCATTTGTTTTGATTAATCGCTGCAGCAAATTCGGAAAATGCTGTTTCGAGAAAGACGCGTTTAAAGATAAAATGATCGTTATAATATATATATTATCTTTTAGATGGTTGTAACTCAAAAACTATTTAAGATATCGATTTAAAATTTTGGTATGTTATTTTTGAAGGTATAGCTTATCGAAATATGGAAAAATTGAAGATTCGGTTTTTAATAATAATTTAAAAACCAGATTTGTAATTCATTAATTATGTATTTTTATATAAATATTATCAAATTGATATATTAAATATTTTTTTAGGTGAACGTGGTGCAGCCCACGACATTCCTGCCTTGATTCGATATGGATCTGCCCAAAGTGCAGGCGTTTTGGACGCAACTTCTCCTCAAGCAGTTAAATGGTTTACGGATAAACTGTACAGTGTTTTAGATACTTACAAAGTGAGTAAATTTTTTTGAATCATCAAAATTGCACAATCTTCCTATCCACCAACTTTTCCTTCGTCTTCTGGTCCTAATTTATCAACCACGTAATCAAAATTTCTTTGCCAGATTGACGGTTTCTATCTGGATTACGGAACCGCCGAAGATATGCCGCCCCATTACAAATTCAAGGACCCCTTAGCCGACCCTGATGACTACAAAACCCTATTGGTAGAACGTGGTGCTGAAAGTAGATTTGCAGCAGTCACTGGAGCCATAAGGGCACCCAAACCGCCAATATTTGTTGCCCTTCCGGATCTGAAAGGGACTTGGGAGGATCTGAGGAAAGTCTTACCGGCTGTCCTAAGTTACGGAGTCATTGGTAATAAAAAGATATTACATAACCTGGAACTATTGGTAATTTTTATGGTTATATTTTTAGGTTACCAGTTTTTGATTCCTGGGGTGGTAGGTGGTAACACAGGTTTGCCAGAGAAGGAGCTTTATATACGATGGTTGCAGTTGGCGACTTTTTTACCAGTCGTCAAGTTTGCACAACTTCCAGAGGACTTTAAGGATCCACAGGTAAAAAAAAAGTTCGCATAAGTTTCACACGCGATTGAAGTAAAACTTTTTTGCTATTGTACGAGATGGCATTTAAGTTAAAAATAAATACACCATATAATAATTTTGAATAATGTCAATTAGTAATATGGTAACACTCGTGATGCACACATTTATTAGTGTCTACCATTATACACATTTATATAATGATAAATTATAAATTATATATTTATAAAAACATTAAAAATATTTGAAATATTTAAAAACAATAATGTAATTAAAGTCATACTTTAAATATGACATGATCGGTTTGTCATTGTAATTAGCATTTTGGACTTGAGCTTTTAATAGCTTTAATATTCGTTCACACAGTGACCCTATAATAATCTTGAATAATTTAATTAATACTATCAATAAATAAACTGCATAAATATCTATTATGTAGTATATCTGTATATAAATGATACACAGCTACACAAACTATTGTTGTGCTTGATCTCTTGTTAGAGTAATAAATCTGTATATCAATTTATTCTTCCTCATTTATAAAAATATGCAACTTTGTAATTCTTTACAGCCATCATGATCGAAAAACGCGTAGACTTCCTCTAAACTTCCAAAAGTGTCTGAGATATAATTCTGAATAAGATATATCTTCAGCATGATAGAATAAAGCTGTACGCTTTAATATTTTTTAATTTTTATAAAAATGGAGAGAATCATCATGTTAAACAACGCATAAAGAAATATTGCTTTCACAATTTCACTCATCATGTAATTGTGTTTGAGGAGCTTTATGTAATTAAAATTAAAATACATTTATTGACTGCTTGTTAACATCCCGAAGGAGAAGTTTATGTTTTCATAAAAAAATTAGATTCGCTAATTTAACTTTTAAAGCCATTCTGAAGCGTCCATGAGACCTCAAAAACAGCTGGACCGATTTCAAAAATTTAAAAGCCATTCGATGTATCTCGAAGAAGACTAGCGTTTATCAATTTTGCGCGACGATCAGCCAAGCTGTTTCTTTGTAAATAGCAGAAAAGTGAAAAAATTTTCGTTCACGTTTTAGCCCGCAATTCTAAATCGATTTTGAAAATTCAAAAACCGTTCGAAAGATATTGGTTGGGAATCGTGCTGATTAGTTTTTGGTAGAGATCGGCAGGGCCATTTTCTTATATTAAAGTGTTAAAATTTTTTTTCGACGATAGATACCATACTCTTATAGATCATACTAAAATATTACGGCCCTACGACAAGTCGTTTATTTTTTAAAATTTGTCAAAGTTTGCAAAAATTAGTATCGTTTTTTGGCGTTTGCCAAAATTAGACTTTTCAACGTCATTTTCTCAGAAACTAGTATAAACTAATATATCACTGGATTATCTTATATAATATCATACTTATTTAAATGTACAGTTTAGCTCATGGAAATAATTTTTGTATTTCTGATTGCTAAAATAAAGTGAAATAAAAAAAAATCTCAGAAACGACTGAATCGATTCCAGAAATTTAAAAGCCATTTGATGTACTTCGATGAAGATTATCGTTTCTCAGTTTTGTGCGACGATCGGCCGAGCCGTGTCTTTGTAATTTGGCACATTTAAGCCCATACTACTGAATCGTTTTTAAAAAATCAAAAACTGTTCGAAAGATATTAGTTGGGAATGATACTGATTAGTTTTCGGTGAAAATCTACCGAGCCGTTTTATTGTAATTGACTGTTGAAAAAAAAAATAGCCGATTTTTATGAAACTTTTTTGGCGATATATATCATGGTCTTATAGAACTTACTGAAATATTACGGCCTTACGACAAGTAGTTTAATTTTAAAAATTCATCAAAGTTTGAGAAAATTAGTTGTTTTTTTGACGTTGGACTATTCACTTGGTATAACAATAGAGTACTTGGTCTTAATGAACATACTAACCTATTAAAGTCCTACGGAAACTGGTTCAATTATAAAAAAATATTGATCTCTGAAAACTTGCTTTTAGAAAATACTCCGAGTTAAAGAGTTCGTTCGTTTTCAATGAGGTGTAATAAATCCACTCGGAATACTTTTAATCACTCATGAATTAATGCATTTTTTATTGATTAAGTCGATTATTTACACATATCGGGGAGTTCATGTAACTTGCCTCAAAGCAAAATACCAATACCAACTAGTTTATTACTGTCTTGAAAATTTAGTAAAGTATTTTTACTTTTTAGGTTTTAGAAATTGTTCGTACCTTAACGGCATTGCGTCAGAAAGTAGTCACTCCGCTCCTGAAAAAATACTCAAGGGAAGCTTTGGACGTTGGTTTGCCCTTGGTGAGACCCTTATGGTTACTGGAACCAAAGGATGCTGCTTGTTTGACTTTAACTGATGAATTTTCTGTCGGAGAAGAATTGATTGTTGCTCCGATATTGGATAAGAGAGCTACTTTGAGAGAAGGTAGGAAATTATACTTAAGTCCGGTGCACACGACGCCAGATATGATAAATCATAACTTACGATTTTTTAAACGATATGATAAATAATAATTTTTTATATTACCCGACATATTTTACGATCTTGCCAGCGTTTAAGTTCTCTATTCACAACCGCACTATTTTTAACATAATTTCTGTCTATAAAGCCCGGTTCACACGACGCCAGATTTCCTGATATTGCCCGACATATTTTACGATCTTGCAAGCGTTTAAGCTCTCTATTCACAACCGCAGTATCCTTAACATAATTTCTGTCTATAAAGCCCGGTGCACACGACACCAGATTTCCTTATTAGTGCATGCCAAACTGTTTGTTAGCTAGCAACGATATGATAAATCTTAATTTACAATATTGCCCGACATATTTTACGATCTTGCCAGCTTTTAAGCTCTCTATTCACAACCGCAGTATTTTTAACATAATTTCTGTCTATAAAGCCCGGTGCACACGACGCCAGATTTCCTTATTAGTGCATGCCAAACTGTTTGTTACCTAGCAACGATATGATAAATCATAATTTACAATATTGCCCGAAATATTTTACGATCTTGCAAGCGTTTAAGCTCTCTATTCACAACGGCAGTATCCTTAACATAGTTTCTGTCTATAAAGCCCGGTTTACACGACGCCAGATTTTTTGATTAGTGCATGCCGGACAGTTTGTTACCTAGCAACGATATGATAAATCATAATTTACGATAGTGCCCGACATATTTTACGATCTTGCCAGCGTTGAAGTTCTCTATTCACAACCGCAGTATCCTTAACATAATTTCTGTCTATAAAGCCCGGTACACACGACGCCAGATTTCCTGATTAGTGCATGCCGGACAGTTTGTTACCTAACAACGATATGATAAATCATAATTTACGATAGTGCCCGACATATTTTACGATCTTGCCAGCGTTGAAGCTCTCTATTCACAACCGCATTATTTTTAACATTATTTCTGTCTATAAAGCCCGGTGCACACGACGCCAGATTTCTTGATTAGTGCATGCCGGACAGTTTGTTACCTAGCAACGATATGATAAAACATAATTATGATCTTTCCCGACATATTTTACCAGCTTGCCAGCGTTTAAGCTCTCTATTCACAACCGCACTATTTTTAACATAATTTCTGTCTATAAAGCCCGGTTCACACAACGCCAGATTTCTTCTACAACCGTTGCCTAGCAACGTCAGAAACTGATTTTACAACAATTTTTGTCCTGGTTTTAAAAAAAACAATTTGCGAACAAATCTAAATTTTAAAATAATAAATTTTAATATTAAATTTACATAAAACTTTTACTGAACTTTTTATAACCTTTTTAATATTTTTATAACAATATTAATTATCCGATAAAGATACTGATTTTAAAAATCAATAATTGTCATGTTAAACTGTAACATTCTAGTATAATTTTAATATCATTACTATATTTAATTTATAACAATATGAGATTAAATCATCTTATGAATTTATCTTAATCGGATACGGTATATATATATATATATATATATATATATATATATATATAATTAAATCCATGTGGGCTGTTCTATAATATTTATTCATCATGGAATCAAGATAATAATTTGAGTAACAACATCACAAATACAAATTTTGCTGCAAATTAATCTTGACTCCATGATGAATAGGATTTAATTAGAGGTTAAGTGGTTTATAAGTATTCTTACGTGTCATAATGTTTTAGTTCACGTACAGATGGCACAAGAATTTACTTAATGACGTATGTTAATAACAAATATAAGAAACTTTCAATTGGCGTGCGCTCTACCTAAATGTTTATATATTAAGAGCTTGCGTATTTTTTTTTATTAATTTTTATTTGTTTTCTTAATTTTCAGTTTACCTTCCTGCTGGTGTCTGGAAGGATGGAATAGATGGTTCCTTAAGAAAAGGCAGTAGATGGATTCATGGTTATAGAGTTCCTTTGGACCAGGTTGCATATTTTATGAGGATGCCGGATAATACTAGATTTTAATGGAATTTTTTGTTTATTGGAATGCCAGATATATGAAAACTTTTCAGGACTGGCCGGAGAAATGGTATTTTCTAAATTTTATATAATTATATTTGAACCAAAAAAACTTAACACATTTGACAATCTTGAACAAATTTTGGACCAGCTGGAGAAATGGTATTTTTACTACTTTCTTGGAACTCAAGGAACTTTTATTTTTTTCTACTTGTATAGACTGATTTTAACTCTTTCTCTCGCGAATTCCGGAATTTGTATATATTTTGCCGTCGGTGCGGCGGCATCCGAGTCGAAAGGGTTAAAAAGTCAAATGTATCACAAAATTATTAGGCCAGCTGGAGGAATAATATTGCCAATTTTTTATCTATGAATAGTCAAATGCATAAAAATATTTTTGAACCCTTTGGTGGAACCAAAAATAGCCGTAATTTTTGTCATTTGTGTCGAATATATTTTTATCGAATATATATAGTGCTAGTCAACAAACTACTTGGGACCAACAAAATCCTTAGATTTTATATATAATTAGATTTATAATCGTTGTTTTAGATGAAACCTTATTTTTTACATGCGTTCATTTGTTGCTTAAAACTTTCGTAAACATTTCTTATACATTTGTAAATAATGTTATCAAATCGGATTGAAAAATCATAATTTTTGCGCAAAATTTGTTGGATATTTTGATAAACAAACACCGTAGAACCCGTTAAGACGATCATAGTTCATACGATTTCTCGAAGACAAATTGTTTTTTTTTGTATAATACGCTTTATCTTAATAGGTGGGACAATTCTGCCTCATAACATAGCGTCGTCATGACAACGTTATTTTATGCTTGTTTATTAGCAGTGAAAATTGTGAAATATCTATTTATTTGCTGTACGATCAGGCGTATTTTACATATAAGCAAGCAAGAAAGAATGTTATGATGTTATTAAAATACGCCTGATCGGACAGCAAATAGACATTTTCACTGCCAATTAACAAGTATAAGATAGCGTTACCATGACAATCTCTGTTATGGCAGAATTGCCCCAAAAGTTTTACTGTGTATCTTTATTTATAACATTCTCCTCAAATTGAGATCTTATAAAAAAATTAGGTTTAAAATGTGTGTACTGTTAAGTGTTTGGTGTTTGAACTGTATGAATGACTTTTATTTCAAATTTGTGATAAATAATATAGTTAAGTTTCTCATAAGATTAAATCACACATATACAATAATATATATTAGGGCGGGTCGATTTAAAGGCACATATGATTTTCGGATACTAGGGATCAAAATGAGATACTTTGCTGAAGAAACCATACCTCTAAAATGAATTCTGATGTCCCGTGAGTTGACCCAAAAAATAAGGGTTGAATGTTGAAAAATTTTAGAGGTATAGTTTCTTCAGCAAAGTATCTTATTTTGATCCTTAGTATTCGAAAATCATGTGTGCCTAAGCAATTTTTTTACCCATATAAATCGACCCGCTCTAATATATATAGTAGAAAAAATTCTGGATACCTAAAACTATTTAAAATTTTACCCTTACCCTTACCATTCGTTTTTTCCAGAAAAATATTTTTCGAGACGTTTTAGTTCTTGAATTTTCAAAATCAAGTTTTTATAAAATTTAAAATAATAAATAAAAAATAGGTTTTACAAATGTCGCTCAATATCTGTATTTATAATAATAATAAGGCTTGTTATGATAAATTTATTTATTAATTTATTGAATAAACAAATAAATTTGTTGAAATTGATGTTTTGATAATGTTCATCATCATTATCATAAAAATCATTTATCATCAATATATACACTCATGTATACCCCGGTACAAATGTATCGTGGCCGAAGGGTAAAAAATCGTGGCGCAATATTCGAATCTCGTTTTTAGATGGAGCGGATAATATTTGTTTTAAAAATTATGGAAAATTTTGAAAATTTATGGCAGAACTGTTTTATATGGTATTACAAATAACAAGCATATTTCCCATACAATTTACTCGTCTAATTTTATATTTACACGAATTACACATAATTCTTAAATGTGGATTTAATGGAAGGTTTTTGTGGGCGACCAAGATTCGTTTCTTCAGTATTAGAAATACTTTAATTTAAATGTTCACTACCCATACCCAAAAACAAGTTAAGAATTTTTTAACAAAAATATTTGAAAACAGAGGGCAAGAGATATAAAACCAGCCAAACCTTGATTTTTGCGACGTTGCTATCAGGAGATAAACGATCATGTTTGAAAATCTATAACAAAAGATAATTTTTTTAAAATCAGAAAAACATCATTTCTACAATGATGAATTAGTTGGCAGTTTTACTGAACATAATCAGATAGTTGTTTGTTTGATATGTGTTATTTGTTGTGATATAATTGGTTTAGTTTTTTCAATATAACTGCTCAAAGTTAAATTGGTTTGCAGATAAATATATTTATAATTAATTCAACTTACAAAGTACATATTAACCCATTAAACACCATGTTATATATATATATATATATATATATATATATATATTAGGGTGGTCCTTAATGTGGACATTTTCAAATTTTCTCGCTCCCAAGGGCTCAAATGATTCCAAATTGATAAAAAAGTGAATATTTGTGTAATTTTTTATTGAAAATTCGACGCTCTGCAAACTTTTTGAATTTTTTTTTATGCTATTTCCATAGAAAACTTTGATTGAATTGTGCTCTGCCTAAAAGATAATATTAATAGCTGAAACTTTCAGAGAATTGTTTTTTATCAATTTGGAACCATTTGAGCCCATGGGAGCAAGAAAATTCAAAAATGACCATATTAAGGACCACCCTAATATATATATATATATATATATATATATTATATTTTTATAAATTAATTTTTCCTGGAACGTTTCTTGATAAAATGCAGACGTACATAAGCACACATTATCTTCTTCTTGTCGTAGAAGAATTTTACTCGAACCAACCAGTAACTGGTCGACACCAGGAATGGTATGGTTTTAGCGATTTCGTTGGTAACTGGCTGGTTAATAAATCTAGAAAGATAAAACACGAGATGAAAAACTAGTGGTGTATGGCATCGTGCCTTAAGGCAAATTGCTGGAACTTCCCGTATCAATTTTTTTTTTAAGATTAACATTTTTGAAAAAAATTTACTCTGGGATCGTTCAAGTGTTGCGTAAGCAGATTTAGTACAATTATTTACCCCCCCCCCCTATCCCCCTTTGTCAGCAAAAGTAAGCAAAGCTGTCATTAAAATGTTACCCGAAATAAGCAAATTAATACCCCCCTCCCCATTCCCTATAGTGCTTACGTAATACTTGAACGGCTCTATAAAAATTAAATTCTTGAGAAATTATAATTTTTTGATAAAAATTTACTTTTTATTTTGAAAAACAGACTTTTTGAAGAAAAAATTATTTTGAAATATTTTGGAAATTCTGAACTTTTTAACTTCCCGTATGGCAAGTTATAGTAATCGCAAAAAAATCGAAAATGAAAATTTTTGCATTTCTCGACGTTTCAAAGATTTCTGAATGTGTGTGTGTGTTTGTATGTGCGTGTGTGTATGTATGTTCGGATACAAATTTTCGTTGACGATTTCGGGAACACGGATCAACCGATTTAAATAATTCAAAAAACATTCGATTCGTATTAATAAGGAGACGTGCTGACTAGTTTTTGGCGAAGGCAAGTCTAGCCGTTCCGAAGATACGGGGCTAAAAGTACCAAAAACGGTAACTCAGTTTTTAAGAGAACGGGGCGTCCGATTTGAATAATTTAAAAAACATTCTATTTGTATTGACTGAATGAAGAACTATTCAAATTTTTGGTAAGGCAGGTCCAACGACTTTGGAGATATGGAGAAAAAAGTAAAAAAATGAGTCATTTGGCGGTCAAAAATGATCATTAGACATATGCACATCAAATTATCAGACATTTTATAGAGATTTTAACAATAAGTATAATTTTGGTTTACATTCCTATGGGTTCCGTACCAGTGTTTATTCGTTAGACGGCGACGCGGCGCTTACGCGCTTCTATATTTCGTCTCTATGCAGTTAAAGCAGTACGAGTGCTTTGAAAAAAAGTTCAGAATTTCCAAAATATGTCAAAATAAAGAAACATTTTTTCAAAAAAAGTAATTTTTTGTCAAGTTTATAGTTTCTCAAAAATCTATTTTTTTTGAACTAAAATTTTTTCAAAAATGTTAATCGTTTATAAAAAAATAATAATTATTGATATGGGAAGTTCCAGCAATTTGCCTTAAGACACGATGCCATGCGCCCCACTAGTTAGATCATTCAAATCGGACGCTTAATTCGATGCACATTTAGCTCTGTATCTCCGAAATGGCGGGATCTGTCTTTGCTAAAAACTAATCACCTCTTCTCCCAATCATTACAAATTGAATGTTTTTTAGATCGTTCAAATTCTCAAAATTTAGATCTCGATTTGTATTTTCTGCACTCTTCGCTCCGCATCTCCTTAACGGCTGGACCTACCTTTACCAAAAACTAATCAGCACATCTCCCTATAAATAGGAATCGAATGTTTTTTTAACCAATCAAATCGGTTGGTCCGTGCGCGAAAAAATGCGGACATACAAAACACACAACACACACATCCATTTTTGTGAGGTATGCCAAAATGTTCAGAAACCTTCAAAACATCGACAAATGTAAAAATTTTCATTTTCGATTTTTTTGCGATTACTATAACTACCCTAGGGGAAGTTAAAAATAAGTATTGGTTATTATTTCTGAACAATGAGTCATTTTATCCTTTATTACCTGTAGACTCCTTGTTTCAGTGGACACAAAGCCCTAGGTTGACATCCCATCAAAAATTTACTATAAATCGCATTCTCGTCTTTCAGCAGATTGCATACATTGCTGTCGCTCATTTCTGTGATGAAGTCGACGCATTTTTCATCATTTTTTGCATCTTGACATTTCATCACGTCAATTTCACCGATCATCAGATTACTCTTGACGGCGTTGAAGTTGAAGTCGATGGTCAGGTTGATGACGTAGTCGCCTTTACGAACCTGGATAAAGGATAA